CTTAGGACTCTGAATGATCGCACTAGGGATCCGATTGTACAATATCGGGTCTATATTATTCCGGCCCCCTATTCTTGAATTAGGGCTTTCTTGCTTCAGAGGGTTCGCTGCATATTCGTAAGGCTTGCTTTCTTATGGGGAGGGTCTACAGTCGTGGGTAGGGCTGTCATTGGTGTTCGTAGGATTCCTTCTCACACCTACTACTACTACTACTACTACTACTACTACTACTACTACTGCTACTACTGCTACTACTACTGCTACGTAGTACTGCTGCTACTACTACTACTACTACTACTACTACTACTACTACTACTACTATTTTCAATTGAACGCTGCGCGAGCGTGCTCTGCGCTTTGCGGGCGCTTACCGCTTTGGCACTCACTAATGGGTTAAAACCGACTTCGGCTCGATTCTGAATGGCAAGCGCAAAAAGGAACCCATACCCTCAGCATAAACCAAAACAAGGAAGAGCAAAGCCAATCCGAAATGAGCCTGAGCCTAAAGCCTGTGGAGGGCCTGCGAGTGCTCAAGGCACTCTTGGCCTTGACGCGGGGCGGGCCATGCCCACCTGTTGTGGGGTCCGGCCTTCCCGCGCACAGGCACCCATGGTCTGAATTCTTGCCCGCTTATTTTGGGCCAGCACCCACCCTTAAGGCAGATGTCGGCTTCACCGGCGTTCCAGAAAAAATGAAAAGCTGCTCCTCAGCACGCATTTGAGGCTGGGCACGTTTTGCTCCGAGGCCTCGCGCTAGCCACCAACCGTGAAGTAAAACGAAACACAGAGAAACCGCTAAAAGCAAGGATAGAGAACGAATCCTGATTTCCAAGGCCAATCAGCCCCTATGGAAAAGAGCTGCCTATGGCTTGAGCAGTTGCTTCACTGGACAATTCACTTGACTGTGTTTGCAACGTCCGTCACCCTCAGTGTGAGTCATTGCGTCCAATACTCACGAACTGGCAGCCCGTGGGTCGTACTCAGAAGAGCCGTCTCCCAAAGTTCCCGTCTAGTGGCGTCCCACCGGACTGCCAGTGATGGGCCGTAAGGAAGGCTGCTCGTTGACCAAAGCACATAAGCCGTCACTCCTAGCACTGCCTGACCTCGTCAGTAACAGGACAGTAACGAACACAACTGGGAGGCCGTAGCCGAAGCCCGCCACCCTTGGCACAGCAAGCGCGTCCGCTTTGCGACTGTACCCAGATGTGACGTGGAGCCGTACCAAAGTGCTGGGTCAAACTGACTCCCCGCGACTGTGTCGCTTCCTCCTGCCGTGTAGGTCGGCGCAAAGCACCTAGCTCCAGACTTGGGCTCAGGCGAAACTCGGGTGTCGCACGTAGAGCCGTACCAGAGGGGAAGCCACCGAAGGGTTGAGAACTCCAGCGCTGACCAGCAAGTCGCGCTTTTTTGGTACCTGTTTAGCCACCCAGCGTTCCACGAAAGGAGCCCGACATTTGCGTCTTTGCTGTCCAGCGCGGGGGGAGGCTGTGCCATATGCCGAGTTGTGAGGCTGTGCCTTAAACTGTCTTTCCGCGACTGCGTCGCTTCTTTCCGGCTTGGCTGTGCTAGAGCTCCCAGTCGGCAGACAAGTGTCATGTCGTTCTTTCTGATATAGGAAAAATTGTGTGAGTGCGCTGTAAGCATCAGCGGCGTCCGCTGCTTTCATCAAGAGACCGAGGCCTAATGACTCCCTCCACTGCGCGGAAGTGGAAACCCTACCTACCTACCCAGTGATGCAATGTTTGAATGAAAGACACTCTGGGCCCAGGAATTGGGACCTGGCGGATCAAAGCGGCACCTGTAGCAAAACGGAGAGGCACATGGCTCGGAGTAGGCACAAACCCTTACTGTTCGGAAAAGGAGCCTGGTCGGGACCTCTAGTACAGAAGTTGCGCCCCAAGCCTGTTCGAAAGCCTCTCAACTGCACGGCCGCTTGATCACTCGTGGCGGCTACTACTACTACTACTACTACGACTACTACGACTACTACGACTACTACTACTACTACTACTACTACTACTACTACTACTAAGAGCAATAATAGCTGCTACTACTACTACTACTACTACTACTACTGCTACTGCTACTGCCACTGCTACTGCTACTGCTACTGCTACTGCTACTGCTACTGCTACTCCTACTACTACTACCACTACTACTACTACTACTACTACTACTACTACTACTACTACTACCACTACTAGTATTGCTACTCCTGCTGCTACTACTACTACTGCTGCTGCTTTTACTACTCCATAGTTTTGCGTTCACGTTCTCGGGTCGGCTTAGGGTTCACGGGTTTCACTCTTTGGAGTGTGAGGGTTTGAGATGGCGTTGGTTCAGTTGAGGCTTCCGCACAGATCTCAGATTCTACTTGTGTGCGCCTCCTTCAACAGATTTGTTTTAAGGGTTTCTTTGCTGCTTCCGGGGTGTCTTCAGGTTGGTCGTTTGAATTGCGGGCTTCTGAGAAGTGGACTGACTCTTGTTCAGTCAGCTTCTCGTTGCATGATATTGCATGCACAGCGGGTTACTGTTCCCTCACTCTTCCTTGCGTCATATTACAGCAGAAGCCTAAAAGTTGGAAACCCGATAGACTCAACCCCTAAGAGCAAAGCAAAGGGAATCCCAGCACGATTTGTCCTTCATTAGGTTTCCAACTTTTTGGAGTTTACAATAATTCATGGAAACTCGCAACCCAGAGGCCGATTACATGCGTGGTTGGGCTTCCACAGGACCGGCAAGCAGCAAACTCGCGAATCCCTGCACAAACCTGTTGTCACGATCAGCATGAGTCAGAAAATTACTTGTTTTTCGAGTTGACATGTTCAAGATTCTCCGTAGAAAGCCGCGCTTCTAGTGGCGGTTTGGGATAGTATGCCATTTTCCAATCATTCCCCGTATGGTCTTCTCGGGGTACCTATCCATAAATTCGTAAGGGCGTGTTAAGCTGCCTTTCTGTACTCTTCGTCGACGAGCCTCTGACCGCGTCCATGCTAACACCCGGCAGCAACCGCCGACGTTGTGCTTCGTGGTGTGATGGAGTGATGGTTGTGGTGGCGTTATCACAATTTCTCAAAGGCTCATACTTAGTAATTAGCCAGATTGCAGCGCTGCAGGTTCATCATGGTGTAGCACGACACTGGGTATGCGATTGCTGTATCTCTGATTCTAGGGCTCCGGTTACAGGAATAGTAGGTTGCTAACCATACAATAGGTAGCCCAGTAGTCCATTGTTCAGGTAACTGGAGCACTACTTGGAGGTTCATGGGTAGTCATAAGTAGGGTTATAAGTAGGGTAACTCTTGTTATACCCCACAATAGGGGACTTATAACGCCTCTTATCACTACCCCTGAACCTCCAAGTAGGTCCTAAACCCTATACTATACTCTTGTAGAATCCCTATAGATCCCTTTAAAGGGACCCTTAAAGTAACCCTTATAACTATACCCATGAACCTCCAAGTAGGGTGATTCAAGACCCAGGCCATCGCCAGCATCAAGCAAGCGATCTTGTACCTCGGATCCAAGGGGTCTTCGGCCTCGGCGCCGAAGATGTTTGGTACGGTTTAGGGTTCAGGGTCTAGGGTTTAGGGTTTAGGGTTGGTGATATAAATCCTGCATTACCCAAAATAAGGAATCTACCATAATTCCCATGGTTTCGGGCCATCAATGCAGGATTTATATTATCAACCGTAGTATGGGGGTCCGAATAGCTAGCAATAGTTTCACCCTGGTCGTCTCCTATATACTGGTAGTATAATCTACCCCCACTCCCAAAATGTATTCTACATATCAGGGCCACTACATCTTCTGCAATCTAGTCTGCGGAGGCAAAGAGTCACACATTGTCTTGCAATGGCATTTCTACCGGTGCACAGCATGGTGTGCGAAACAAAGGGCTATCCGACTATCCTTGTAAGGCATCACGACTGCAGTTTGGTGTCTGAGCTTTCATGTGCAAGCAGCCACACACAAAGAGCCTCGACCTGACATTACGTTAAGGATTATACTCTGGGGGTCCTTGCCAGGCTTCAGAACTCAAACCACGGATTTAGGGACTTCTGGGACTCAAAAACTACATATACTTGCAAAAGAGAGAGAGAGAGAGAGAGAGAGAGAGAGAGAGAGAGAGACTTTGGACATAGGTGCGTATCGCTGGTCAACCCCAAACTCCTCGACTCTTTGTGTGAGACCCTAAACCCTAAACCTTTCAACATGTTGCGAACATCCTGGAGGCTCCCAAGGCTCACTTATAGTTTAACATAGGGGCTTCAATCACTAGCAATACCACTTTGGTGGTTTTTTAGGGTTTAGGATTTAAGGGTTTGGGATTTAGAGTTTAGGGATTGAAGGGCTCCTTGTTATAATTATAGTATCTCGACAACTGCGTAACCCAAAACGCCTAAACCTAAAGCCCCAAAGCCAAAAATGAAACAGCCGAAGCTCGCAAATCTGGAAGCAGCCTTAAAGGCCTATGTTTCGGGCCTAGGGCTTACCCAGGGGCCCCAAAGTAGTTCCTTTTGGGGATTACCCTATAGAATTCTATATACGAACCCCAAAAAGAAACTACTTTCGGGCCTAGGGTTTAGGGTAATACCTGAACATCCAAGGCGGTGTGACTTCGAAATTCTCCAGATTGAATGCCTCAGCGTCCAGCGCTGAGGGAGTGGCTAAGGTTTCAGGGTTTAGGGAGTGGCCTCAATGAGGGATGCCCTGACACTGTAGGGCAGATGGTTTCATACCAGTTCTTGTTTTCAAGAAACAGGGTTTAGGGCTTGGGAATTACTTAAGGCATCTTGTCCTCCTTCCGTTTTCTTGCAAAGTAGGGTTCGGTCTTTACGGATTCGGGTTGAGGTTTCAGAGTTCGGCAGAAAGCTGGGCATCTAAGGAAGAGCTGCGAATGGTTTCCTTGCAACGCCATGCGGCTCAAATGAAGGTGATCTTCCTGAGTCTGAGTAGCTATCTGTCAGGACCGGCTGCAAGAAATCCGTCTTCCAAACCATGCTCGTAGCTGTGGTGATCTTCGCTCTGATCCCGCTTGCCGCTCTGGGCATGAAGGCGGTAGCTATAGAGGCATCAATAATTAGAATAGGGTTCCTATAAGGGTCACTATAAGATATATTCTGAGGGGGGCTTAGTGTAGGGGCCTTAAGAACTAGACTACGGTTTTGGGGGCTCATTGTACTTTAAATTTAATTATAGTAATAATACAGAGCCACAAGTACGTAATTATTTAGGCCCCTATATAGTAGCTACAGCTTGCTCAGTTCTAGCTTTGTGTTAAGCAATCTCTACAGACTTTGTCTCAATGGATTTGGGTGCAAGATTCCTGGCAGGGCCGAAACAAAAAGTCGGAATTCCGCAGGACTCAAGGCTCAAAGCCCTCGATCTCAAACAGTAAACCCTAAAACCTTGAACTCTGCTGGAAAAGGGGCTATTGCACTTTAAAAAAATGAAAACCGAACCCTAAAACCCCCAGTCTAGCCTCGCAAAAATCCCTGGCAGGCGCTACGGCAGTTCAACGGACGTTGCGAGAGTCCGACCCCTACTCCGGCGGACTGCAAGAAGGAGATGGAGACTTCCTGGAAGGATTTGGAGGTGCCGTGGATTCGGTGAAGATTCCCAGAAACCCTGAACTCCTCGTGACCGAACCCTTAACCCAAACCCCTTATATAACCCTCAACCTCCACGCCCTTAACCATCGCCTGCTACCCAGGAATCCTATCAGGGTTTTGGGTTTAGTGTATCGCCCCTGCAGTCAGGTCTGCAGCTTCAGTCACATCAAGAAGCAACCTATGAGTTCAGGTTAAGTTGATTCATTCACTAGGCTCGAGGGTTTGGGGTCTAAAGCCTGAAGCCCAAAACCCTAAACCATAGACCCTAAACCCTAAACTGAACCCTAGAGTCAAAACTTAAACCCTGAACCCTGGCCTTCGAGGCCGCCTACCCCTGGGTGCGCTTCGCTCGTCAGCGGAAGTACCTAGGCGATAACCTGGAAGATGCTCGGTAGGGTCTTGGGACATTTTGCATGTTTTCCCCTTCCGAGCGTCAGATTTTAAACTCCAAGCCGTAAGCCCTTAACCCTAAGTTATCTCTTTTGTTTTCTCTCTTTTTACTTTTTTGCTTAAGAGGATCTTAGGCCACTTTACAGGCATGAACGCGCCAACCTACCCTAAACCACTAGGCACTACACCCTAAACCCCTAAACCCTAAACCTCTAACGCTAAACCCCGAACCCCTCAAGCCCTTAAGCCCTAAACCCTAAACCTCTAACCCTAAAGCCCATAAGCCCTCAACCCCTAAAGCCCCCAAGCCCTAACACCCCCAAGCCCCTAAACCCTCTAACCCTGAACCCTTACAGCCCTTAAGCCCTAAAGCCCCCAAGCCCTAACACCCCTAAACCCCTAAAGCCTAAACCCTCTAACCCTAAACCCCTAAAGCCCTTAAGCCCTAAACGCTTAAAGCCTAAACCCTGAGGATGCTCAGTGGTACCCTTATTCCCTTTTTGTAGTCCTAGGTTCCCTATAAAGTTACCCAATACCAAAATAAAAAGAGAGGCCTTTTTATTCTTAGGTTACTGGGTATCCTAGCTGAGGATGCTCAGGCTTGGATCAAGCTGCAGCTTTGCCTCGACAGACTTGTCCAGGAGCCACTGGAGGCGATCGATACTAATGAAGGCTGAATCACTATATAAGCTGTAATAACAACAGTTATAGGAATAACAATCATGATAACAGTAGTAATAATGATGGTGATAAGAATCATGATAGCAGTAATAGTAATGATGGTGACAAGTAAAAATCGTAATATCGATCATTAGCAGCATGATTCCTCGGGGTCCCTTCTTACACCTGTAGTATGCAATGCCCTCTCCACAAAACCCTCGTTTAGCCATCAAGTTGCTGAGTTCAGCCATGCTGCGTGAGCATTGTAACGTCTGGTCGAAGGACCGGACCTCTGTGATTCCAGTGAAAGTACAGTGTGCCCGGTTTCGGTTTCGTCACACCGACCCAGTGCACAACCCCACAGGCCCCACAGTTTGCAGCTACTCAGGCCTTGTCACAAGCCCAAAGGGTCCAAGGAACTGCCAGTATAGCACAGTCTTAGTCTCAGTAGATGATTGGGCCCCGAAAGTATTTGCTAGACTCCTAGACCGTTACTTGGACCCTTTGCGACGCATTTTGCATGTCTTGGAGGCATCGTGGGTTTCAGGAATTCGCGTGCAGTTTCTATCCCCTCATAGACCCCAAAGACCCGGCGAACAGCACACGGGTGGTTGTCAAAATTAGGGTCCCTTTTTGGGTACTTTAAGTATTAGGTGCCGTATTATCATAGGTACCCAAAAAGGGACCATAATTTTGACAACCACCCACATAGGGTTTAGGGTTTCGGGTGTTGGCGTAGGGTTAAAAATTTTGCGGGCCTTGGGAATGAAAGTAATAACCCTTCGGGGTTCCCCATGATAAGTGTACCTTAACCCTGAAGAACCTACCGTTTTAAGGACTTGTATAAGGAAATCATAATAGGGAACCCTAAAAAAGTAATTAGGTTCTTCAGGGTTAAAGTAGTAATTACATTACACCCCTGGCCCAAACCCTTTCTAATTATTCAGGCCTCGATCTACCGTAGACTGTTGACGACCACTGTAGCATCCCTAGAAGGGCCCCACTTAGCTTTAGAGCTGAAGCTACACGGTCATGGCAGTTCAGGAAGTGGTAGCATCCCAACAGCTGTGTGTGCACACCCCGTCTGCTGGCGGCATCGCTTCCCAAGCTGACCATCAAGACAGAATGACACTAGGATGTTGAGCCGATCCACAGGTTTAGGCTACCCAAAAACATTAAACAGCTGCGCGGTCACAGTTGCGACTCTTTGTTTGCCACGGCTGACATTGTGTGCTAGTTCCATCTGCTCGGATACCAGTATACTTGCTATGCTAGACTCTCGCTCATGTTGTCATCCATTGTCTTCATTACCCTAAGGCTCCAAAGTAGTTCCCTTTGGGGGTTCATATATAGAATCCTATAAGATAATCCCAAAAAGGAACTACTTTGGGGCCTATGGGTAGTTTTCGTCTTCTGCCAACAATGTTGTGTACGTAGCTGCTGCCGGCACATTGTCTCAAGGTCTATCTTGACGGTAATAATGACGGCAGCAGCGAGATGCTACCAGCTAACGAGCTTTGCAGCAATCTGCGTCAGGGTAAAGAGTATAGTGGTTATCCTCGACGATGAATGCTTCATCGTCCTGGCTTTTGTCATCAGTGTCATTGCCGTACTCACAGCACTGTTTTTTGTCCGTAGCCAACTTGGCGTGGCTGGCGGTTTGTAACATCGGTGTGTTTTTTTGGCATGTCCAGCTTGTCACCGCTCTTCTATCGCTTGCTTGGCTTTGTTACTGCCAAGACGAGCGTGGTTCGTGTAGATTTTGGTTTCATATATATATATATATATATGTATATATATATATATAGAAAGAAAGACTCCTTGCAAAGCTCCAGTATCTGCAACAGCTTTGTACACTTCCTCCTTTCCGCTCTGCCCGAGCCCCCCATGCAAATTGAGTTTTTTGTGTTAGCACGTGCAGCAGGGTTCCAACTCGCATATTCCGCCGGAAGGCCCGAAACCCGCTGCCTCGTATTTTGTCTTTCGTTTGCGCCTGGGGTTTGAGTCCCAAATTCTGCGGCATATGTAGCAGTAGCACAATGCTTGGAGATCTTCGTCAACATATTGGGGGTGTTGGTAGTAGGAGTGGCAGAAGAAGCTGAAGTGGACACCAGTGTTAGCATTGCAGTATTAGCGGTCTTGTCCTTCACCACAGCGGGCCTTGCGGACACCACAAGACTTGGACACAGTATCACGAGTGCTTCATGAATCACTGGACATCCAAGCAGCTTTGACAGGAAGTATCAATATCGTGGTGGTGGTGGTGGTGGTGGTGGTGGTGGTGGCGGTAGCCTGGTAGCCAGCAGCACAAGTAGTGGTAGTAAGGTCGCCGTGCTCGGCGTCGTCGTCGTCGCGGCAGCAGTAGTAGTAGTAGTCGTCGTCGCCGTCGTTGTGATAGTTGTAGTACTTGTAGTACTTGTAGTAGTAGCAGTAGTGGTGGTAGTAGTAGTAGTAGTAGTGGTGCAGTAATAGTAGTGGTAGTAGTAGTAGTAGTAGTAGTAGTAGTAGTAGTAGTAGTAGTAGTAGTAGTAGTAGTAATAATAACAATAATAATAATAGTAGTAGTAGTAGCAGTAGTAGTTAGCAGTAGTAGTAGTAGTAGTAGTAGTAGTAGTAGTAGTAGTAGTAGTAGTAGTAGTAGTAGTAGACGTAATGTAGTAGTTGTAGCAGCAGTAGCAAAAGTAATCGTAGTCGTAACAGTAATAGGGCTAGTACTCGTAATTGTATAATGGTAATGTTCGCGGATATGGCCACGATCGTGGTCATGTAATGCTAAATTGCAGTGGTAATGGTAATAGCAGCAGCAGTAGTAGTCGTGGAGGAGGAGGAGGAGGCGGAGGAGTAGATGAGCCGGTTGTAAAAGCAAGTACTCCCTTCACCACCTATCCAAGGGTAAAAGGTATATACCCTTAAAATAGCTATTACATACCCATTATATAGCCCATTATAGGGTAGGGGTGCCCATTAAGGGTCCCTCCTTTTCCCTTTTGAACCTAAGTTTCCGCGCTCTGCGCAGCTTTGCCGATGCATCCCCAGGGGCTCTGTTGGCTTCTTGATTGCATGCTGCTTGGGAAGGCGATGCTGCATGATGCCACAGTATAGTTTAGAAGCTGCACCCACCCTGTAATAGTGACTATAAGGATTATATTAGGGCCCTATTATATTGCTATTATACCACTATTATATGCAGGGTCGGGGGCCCTTCTAAAATATTATGTGCAACATGGTCTGATAAAGCATGATGCACGCAGCCTTTCACACGCGTGGTGTCGCATGCGTGTGCCATCTCTTTCTGCCTGTGCAGAATAGCATAGCACCAGCATCCAATCGCCAGCCGCTCAATACGAGCTTGGACCTGGAAACCAGGCAATGACCACTTTAATAGTGCTTGCACTAAGTGCCCGTTCGTTTCTGCGCCGCGTCACAGACGCAGGCATTCGTTCCACACCCGGCTACTCTTCCAGATGCTCCCGACGCGAGTCATCTCAGGTTGCCGGGCTCTCGACATCGAAGGCGACGCGTGTTTCCACATCGCTTTCCTTGATTCTCCGAAGGTATGCACAGCTGCTTTTGCTGCATATGTCTGAAGGACTGCAGGCACACCAGGCACAGTTGAAAGCAGGTTTAGGTGTATGCGCTTGGGCCACAGGGTTTCCGTCCATTCCTACATATATTCCTAGCCCTGCATATCCTAATACCTAAAGCCTAATGAGGCCTTCGTTCTAAGCTCGGCTCTGCATGGCAGAGTGGATCGTAGGGCTTAGGGTTCAGGGTTTAGGGCTAGCCCGGTCTCCGTGTTTAAGAGCCCCCATCCGACACACGACTTATGAACCCTGTGGTGGACATAGTGTGTTGGCATTAATCGTCGCTCATAGTGTTCTGTAGGGCTTCTTATACGGGTTTCTAAGGATAAAACAAGGCTGAGGCAGGATCCCCAGGAATCGAAACATAGCGGTTTGAATAAATACGTACGGGTTCCTCACTATAGTGATGCACGTTTACCCCTGCCCTCAAAACACATTCTAATTGTCAATCCCCTTGTACCCTAAACCCTAATCATTTTAATCCCCTTAACTCTAAACCCCTAAACCCTAAACCGCTGAACCCTAAAACCCGAAACCCCAATACCCTAAAACCCTAAACCCTAAAACCCTACGCCCATATATAAACCCTCAAGCCCTAAACCCTTAACCCTAAAGGCTAAATCCCTAAACCCTTTCCCTTAAGCTGTAAACTCTAGATCCCTAAATCCTAAACCCTTAAACCCCGTAAACCCTTGAACCCAATATTGTACTGGGTTCTGACCTTCCTGGCTTTCAGGTTTTATAAGTTAGGCGGTCTGGTACTGGCTTTAGACAGGGCTGAAGACTATATAACATAGTGGCCTTAATAATTAGAATAGGGTTATATAGGGACCCCATTATACTGTGATTATAATGAGGAACCCCCAAGAGATGTTAGGGTGTCCGGCGTAAGGTTTTTAGGATCTCGGGTTGTCGCGTTTAGGGCGGGCTTAGGATGCTGGACATGGGGTGTAGGGCTTTGCGGCTTAGGGTTTGTCATCAATGGATGCTTCGTAAAGCTCAGAATGGCCAAAGCACTATCGGGCACAGGGATGTTACCCTAAACACGTGCTCAAGGCCTAAACCCCTAAAGACCTAGTGCTGCAGTCTCGTATCAGGCAGGTGCAAACGGCACAGTCACCTCATCAAAGTTTAATGCCAACTCTTCGGGCAAGATGGCAGTGAAAAGCAGAAAACTGACATCCCGGTGTTTAGGGCTCCTTGTTTAGGCTTTAGGGGGTTCGTGGTTTAGGGCCTGGGCTATTAGTATTTTTGTAGAGGTTTGGGGTTAAGGCTTGTTAGTTAGGCCGAATTCGTAAACTCTCAGCAGAAAAATAGGGGTTCGAAAGCAGCCTTCGGGTATCATCTTTTTGGGCCTTCGTGGCCCCGGGATGCTAAGCCCTAAAGTCTAGACCCTAAGCCGCCCTAGGTGGCCCCGAGTTGAGCCGGAGGCC